ATGGAGTGAAGTTGTTTATGGAAAATTCAACAACTTCTGAAATCAGGGGTCAAGGAAAGGTGGTTCTTAAAGATGACTTCGAGAAAAGAGTTGACTCTTGACAATGTGCTATATGTGCCGGAAATCCCCAAGAACGTTGTGACCGAGTTACTTTTAAATAAGTATGGTTATTGTATTTGAGTAAGACAAAATCATTTTGTCAAAAATTGGAATATTTGTCGGAAAATGCTATGTTTTCGATTGTATGTTTAAACTGAATGTAATTGTTGTTAAACCAAGAATGAATAAAGTAAACTCTTCTACTTACTTACTGGCATGGTAGACGAGGACATGTTAACTATGATACTTTACGTAGACTAGTTAACTTCAATTACATACTCGCGTTTCATATTGATTCCAAACATAAGTGTGAAACTTGTGTTGAGGCAAGATTGCCAAGGTCGTCATTTAAATCAATTGAACGGAATATAGAACCACTTGATTTAATTTACAGTGACATATGTGATTTAAAATTTGTACAAGCAAGAGGTGGCCACAAGTTCTTCATTACTTTTGTCGATGGTAGCACAAAATACTGTTATGTGTATTTGCTAAAAAGTAAGGATGAAACGATATTTGCTAAAAATGAGATATTTGCTGACTTTGACATGAGTTTTGAGTGCGATCCGTTTAGCTATTTTGGAAGATAAAGATTGATTTGTGTTCTCCTCCGTGAGTACATCGAAATCATATATTAATTTGCCAAAATTGATGCTGGGGTGAATGAGAAATTGAAATTCAAAGTGTGCCACATAAAAAGAGTTTATGTTGGTGGGAAAGCTAAAAAAGAGTTTGTCCCACATAGGAAGTGGATGAAAACAAAACTACTTTATAAAGGATTACACTTTAGAATAGTGTAATCATATGTAGTATAGAGGCTTTCTCCACGTGCGTGCACAGTGAGGGTGCAAATCATGGACCGGAATAGGTTTCGAACCTTGAACTTGTGTACGGGCGAGACCTGCGTACACGAATGTCAGACCGAAAGGAGCAAAATTGGCCCCTTAGGAGTGTCCACGTTTTACTACAATTTTATTTTATTCAACTAACTTTTCATTTTTTGAAACTGTTGAAACTCCTGTGGTAATTGTCACGAAGTGAATGGGCAAGTTACAATAGCTAAGTCTTTATATGTCTCTTTTTTTCCACTTTTTTGTATAGGAATTTCATTTGAAAATTGATCTACATACAGTTCGAGTTTGTCTTCGTTTTCAATTTTGTTTCAGTCTTTGTGGTGATATTGTTCGGGCACTAACTCAGTTCGCCGAAGTAAAATCTGTTGTGCTCGGATTCTACTATTCTGTCGTTGTATCCTGGAAGCAGTCGCTCAAATTATACCTCAAACACATACGGTGAGGGGGCGAATCTGTTTTAAGGAAACTGTGTATAACACAGATCTCAGGTTAAAAGTTTATTACTGTTTCTTCATTATTATTTTTTGTCTATTATATCTTACTGTAATTAACAAATCATTGGATTTTTTAGTGGTGGCGATGTGGCAGTTTGACGGTGGCGACGTGGCGGTTTAACGGTGGCAATGTAGCGGTGCGGCATCGTGGTTGCTATGGTGGTTGTGGTGGTGGTGGCGGTTTGGGGATTTTTTAGTGGGGGTAGTGGTTGCGATGTGACTGAGATGAAGATAGATGAGATGGTAGTTGTTGTGGCGGCGATGATTGTAGGGTTGGGGATTTTTTTGGGTTGTAGGATGGGGGTGGTGGAGGTGCGGTGGTCGGGTAGTCGTGGTGATGTCGATATTTTTAGATGATGGTTTGTTGTCGGGAGGTGGTAGTGGTTCGGACGACCGAATTTCAATTGCCATGCTGTTGGTGGCAGTGGTGAGGTTGTAGTCACAAGTGTTGGCGGTGGTCACAGATTATTTGGTCATTTGTGACCATTAAATTGATTAATCTATGATCGATAGATAATATTTGATCAATGAAAAAGATAAATTGTGACCAAAAAATAATGTGAGACTTAAAAAATTGTTAATTTGTGACCGATAATTTGATAATTTGTGACGGTCTACTCAGTTCTGACTATAATGTTTGTGATTTGTGACTGATGAATAAATTGTGACGTTTTAATTTTTTCATTGTGACCGATGAACAAATTGTGACTATAAAATTTCTAAATTGTGACCTATAAAATTTCAAATTCGTAAGCGTAAATTAATTTGCGACTTATAAAATTTCTGATTTGTCAAATTGTGACATATAAAATTTTTGAATTGTGATATTTGTGACCGATGAATAAATTGCGACCAATAAGATTTTTGAATTGTGATCGTAAAATAATTTGTGACATGTAAAATTTGGAATTTGTGACCAATTATTAATATGTGACCAATTATATAGAATTTGTGACCAAATTATGTAAAATTATGACATTAATATATTTAATTAATAAAATATCGGGTCGTGTATAGGCTTTGTGGCTTGTTTTGGTTTGTTTGCCTTTGTGGCTGTCGCTTTGGCTGTGGAAACACTTAATCTCTCTTTGTAGAGCATGTGTTGGAGGTTTTCCTCCTTNTTAGGATAATTGTTACTAAGTAACAACTGTTCGTATTTAGATTAAAATTTTATTTACATATTATTTTAAATGTTAGTATTGCATTTAATTATTTTGATACATGTCCAATTTACACGAATTACTGGAAAAAAATTAACTTTTTATTTTTACTTAGGCCTATTTGATGGCCATTATTTGGTAAAAATAAAGTTTTGAATAGTAAATTTTTGGAGAATGTGTATGATTAAAAAGTAGGAAAAAGTTTCAGTTTACGTGCAAAATATTTTATTATGTGAATGTGTGTTTGAAAATGAGTACGTAAAAAAAAAAATTGTATAGTGGTTGTCAAACAGGTGCTTAATAAATTTGAACGATTGATTTTGTTTCAATTTGCAGTTAAAATACTGAAATCTGAATTAAACTGCTTAGAAATAATTTGGTTTACATCAAAATCATTTCATTAAGCGAAGCATTGGACTAAGTACTAAAGGTTAAAATTAAAAAGGGTTTCAATTCGGTCATTTGAAATGATAGTTTTTTATTGCACCCTAATTTCAATTCCTCGTATTTTAGCCCTGTTTGACAATCATTATTTGAAATTTTTTTTCTACACATTCATTTTTAACTACACATTCCCTTAAAAATCACTATTTAAAACATTGTTTTTAAGAAAAAATGATCATCAAACAAGAGCTCGTATCTCTTATATATATATACTAGGTGCAAGCAACGTGCAATGCACGTTTGCTTAGTTTTTATTTAATAATTTCGTTTAAGAATTAATTTGTTATTAATAAAGATGAAATTTTTTGGTTAATTAAATAATTAATGATGTAATGTTTATGTAATTGTTAAATAATTAGACGTTATGATATATTTAAAAAAATAAACATCGCCAAGTTTAATACTGATTGTATCATCGGGGTCTAAAATCGCAACATCTTCCTCACGCCACCTCCCATCTCTAAGAACCTACATCATAATTCAGATTATTTATCAGATAAAAAAAACAAGGGAAATCATTCATGGTAACTTCAACATAAGATAATATCAAGTTAATCATAGCTCTTGGAGCAAGACGGGCGATGAGAGTTGCTACTGCGTTGCCAGCATTGTTCTCCTCAATAAAACTAATGGTTGAATTTATCACAAACAAAGTAATAATACTCACGAAGTCTTGCAAATCCAGATGCTTTCCCTATAGAATTTGAATTTAAACATTAGTAAACCCTCCAGAAAAAATGCATACTTTTCAGCAATGAGTTTAAAATTTATGTTCTTACTCCGCCATTTGCAAGGGCAAGTGCCATTATAGTCGAATAAACTCCAAATACTTAATGTTTATTAAAATAATTATTTTTAAACACTAAATAAGATTATATAAGGGTGTGTTTGATAGCCATCCAATTCCATGGAACCTGCTTTTCATGTGTTTGATAGGCACTTTTTTTTAGGGAATCCATTCTCTCACTCTGGCTTACACGGTGACAATTTCCTTGATTTCCTTGAATTCATTTTCCCACCTAATAGGTGGGAAAATGGGTTTCCATGTAAATTTTTTTTTAATTTTTTTTTTTTTTGTAATTAAAAAAAATTCTAGACACAACCCTAATAGTATAAATTAAACCTAAGGAAAAAAGAAAAGAAAACTCAAGCATAAATTACAAATCCAAAAAATAACCCAATCATACAAGCCCACAATATCCGCAGCCCATAACAATTAAGAACATGTTATGAGAAAATAAATATAAATTTCTTATAATTTGAAGTTAAAATCAAACATTACTTTTAATTACACATTCACAATTACTACTCATTTATTAACCACACATTTCATGAAGCATTATACTCGACTTCATTATAATCTCACTATAATTTATTTTTCAAATAAGCAATAAGTGGAAAATCGGTTATAATGTGACGGGAAACTAAGCAATTACCGTCAGTTTAATGGATGAGAGGTGAGGGAGGTTGTGAGTTTTGAGAGTAAATCGAATTTCAATTACCCAATTAAGATAAAGTACAGTGACCCAGTTATGATTTGGCTAAAAGTTCTGTGACCGTGAATGAATTTTACTCATGTCAAACAAGAACATCCACACACATAAAAGACATGACATCGTCTCAATAAAACAAACATCAAACCATCTTTATATACATTTTGTGCCATTACAGGCATCATAAACTCAGCAACGACGTGAAAACATCACACGGGCGAAGAATTTTATCGAGTAAATGATGCGTCCATCATCAAGGGATCATCATCATATAATGAGGGAAGAAGCCAATTGAAGAAGCTAAGTTTGGTTTGTTTCTTCAGTTTCTGCCTAGAATACTCGACTAACATTTCCCAGAGTTCTCCCACAGTCCACTGTTGGGATATAATCCATTGTGCTACCTTGTCAAGTTTCCTCAAGGTCTCCAAACCAAATGTGTAATATAAGACGAAAGGTCTAACTTCTAAGTGTTTGAGACGCTGCTAGCCACTGAATTATGGTTTTGACCTCAGGATCTCCCCCGAAAGCACCACAGCCCCAATTCCCCGTCGCAATACTGACATTATCATCATCCCACTTCGGCTCATTGTCCCTCATTGGCTGGTTATTAGTTTCATTGATTGATTGAAATGAAGTCGAAAGATTTCTCGTGGAATTTCCGAGAGGGCTTCTAATGCCTTCATCAAACTCAGCCTCTGAAAATCCAATGTCTACAAACAGATTTTCATATTGCTGTCTTTTGTATTGATCATAAAAGCCACAGAATGCCTTATTAATCTCTCGGAGAAGGCATTCTGGAGTGTATTGTCTCTTACCGACACGGGACAGTGCGTCTATTGCGATTATCCTTGTCTTACGCCTTCCCATTGAATCGGCACCCTCGACGTCCTTGTAGTCGGCACAAAAACAGAATGAAGAAGCATATCCAGAGTAATTGGAGAATCTCTGCGTACCAATAATTTCAATAGCCTCATTGCCTGCCATTGCAGGCAAGAAAAGCATGCCAACAATCAATTCTGGATTGATCATAAAACGAATCTCTTCCTGTACACAGCCCCGGCGGAGAGCACCACCCCCTATGCATTTATTTACAAAATCTACTTCAAGAGCTTCAACGCAAAGAAGATTACGCAAAATCAGTGACCCACTCAAGTCATTGGACCCATTCCAGACTTCAGTGTAATATAATTGCAGTCTTAAAATTTTATTCACCAAACTAATTACAGTTTAAATTTGATTCACCAAACAAACAGGTAGAGAGAGATCTATTTGAAGAAAATATTTACAAAATTTGACACCACATGAGGGCATATGAAACCAAATGATATTATAACAAAATAGAATACACTGCTCTGAGGATACTGGATCAGACTCATCAGAGTAAAAAAATCCTTGAACTCGGGAAAAGCTTAAATCAACAATTTTAAGACAATATTTTAAAATAATAAGGAGGTAGGAGAACAAATTTTTCTTCTTTGTAAATGAACAAATACCCGAGTTTCAGAGAAGGCATGATAGACATATCGTCGTTGGGAAAAAAAAAGAGTTTAATTAATAAGGTCAAACAGGGACATAGTAACTTTACATAATCTAGTTCTTATTGATCCATAGAACTTCTACTTTTTACCAGAAAAATAGTGAAGCTAAGCCCATAATAAAACATAAGCAATCAGTTGAAACTAAAAATCTTACCCTACTCTATTATCTTTTGTATCTGCTATGTGTTCTCCTGGATTTTGCACACTCTACAAACCATGAAAATCGTCCGCTTTTGAGCCTGCGCGTTGGTGTACATTGTTTAGCATGTTTATAACACACAAGTGTCAAAGGCTTCTTTAATAGAGAATATGAACCTGAATACCTGATTCCAACATACAAACTTGTAAAAAAGAAAAATGAATAGCTTACCATTTCCCTTTTGTGAGGTTTGCTTTTATTCCAACAGAAAAGCCCACTGCAACCGCCACCTCCCAATCCTGATTCATATCCCCTGCAAACGAAGCCGAAAAAGGCATTGGAATTTGGGTGTAGAAAGACTCCCTTCTATCAGCTTTTGCTGATATATTTACTGGAAATTCAAGGTGTGGAGATTTGACACTTTCGTTTAAGAACAAGGGGAAGAATTTGTTTTAACTTGTGTTCAGAGTAAAAGAGTTGTTGGATTACTCACATGTTATCTCTGCAGAAATTGGTTGCTGAAAAATCTGAGAACTGTGCTCGATTCTAATCCAAATTTCAGGTACGCTCAAAAATCCTAGATCTCGAAGGTTTCATATTTATATACTGATATAGTACGTATATATATAACTTGCGTGTGTTTGCGCGAGAAAGATGGGTACAGAAATCGATCAAAGTAAGGACGATGGATTGAAGAAAGGGGCAAGAATTAAGCAAATTAAAGACGATCGATTAAAGAAACTTGAATACTTGTCCTGAGTTTCGAAGGTTTACACCGAACTCGAGACCCATTTAGGGTTTGGAGATAAGGTTTTAGAGGAATTTATTACCGAGATGGGTCGAAAATGCGAAACAGTGGATGATTTTGATGCCAAATTGAAAGAGAATGGGGCGGAGATGGCTGATTATTTTGTGAGAACTCTTCTTACGATTATTCACGCCATTTTGCCGCCGAGAACGAAAGAGAAATCGGAAATCGACTCGAAGGAGGGGGATAAATCGGGGTTCTCAGCCTTGAAAATTAAGGACAGCAGGGATAGGGTGAAGGAACTGGAGAGGGAGATTGAAGATGAAGCTAGGAAGCAGATCAATGGAGAGGAAGAAGAGAAGCGAAAGCATAGGGACAGCCATCGAGATAGAAGAGAGAGGAAAATGGAGAGCATTTGGGGTAGAGAGAGAAAGTGGAAGGGTGAGAATGATTAAGGTTTGATTTAGGGTTTACGAAAATTTGGTTAGTTTTTCCGTTAAATCAAGAAATTCCATTAATTTTTCCGTTAAACCAACAAAATTCCGTTAGATAGCCACTTTATATATAGAAGATATATATATATACAGAAATGATCTAATGAGCACCGGTGCTCATCTTATCTTAAGCACCGATGAGTTGGCACATTAATTCATTGGTGGATAAAGATTTTGTGAGTNCATGGTCATCATCGTAAAAGCATCATTAAGAGACTCTTTAAACACTCTTCATTTTACCTCTTAAGATTATGCTTCAAATGACTCTTTAAATTAATAATTTAATGACTATGATTCTTCAACTTTGACGAGTCAAACACACTCTCTTTAATTAAATGCATTCAAAGTATTTCAATTTTCAATAGAGAAAAATATAATAATTTAGAGAAAAGTTAGTGAAAATAAAAGATGGGAAAAAATAATTTTTTTTTTTGTAGTAAAATTAAATATAAAGAGCATGTTGGAGTACTTAAAAGTTTTTAGTATCTAAATTTGTAGATGTCCTTTAAATTATAGATTATACTTTTTAAAAATAGAAAGTCTCTTAAAAATACTCTAAACTCTCTAACTCAGCTTCATCAAATTAAAATGAGTTTGAAAACCATCTTAACATTATAACATAAGTCTCTCCACTAATAAAAATGTGCCTTTCAAAGTACACATCGGCCACGATGATAAAGAGCTATAATATTATCATCAATTTAAATGGCAGTGAAATTCACTGTTTATCGTAATAATGACATTTTAGATATGACGAGCTCACCTTGTAATTGAGGCATCAAATGGTCTTGTACTTTTGACATCGTTGAAATTAAATTATTTATCTAGACTAATAATACAAAATTCAAGGGAAATTTGGAAGTTTATAATTTTTTGTAAGGATATTATTCTCCCATTTCTACACTTCTATGTTTACTAGTCATAATCATCATTCGTTGCATGTCATTATCGCTAACGAAGTCCCCTCTTAAAAATGCAACGAATAGTTGTACATGAAACACATATTTTCATATATATTTAAACTTTTCCTTTTTTAACTTAGTAAATAGACACAAAATACATTTCTTAAAATTGATTGGCATTTAGAAATAAATGACAGATTTCTTGAATTTAAAATTTGAAGAATCAAGTATCTCCAATTAAAAGAAATAGTACATTGAGTATGATGACCACTTGTACTTGTGAGATAATGTGTATGAAAATAAGGTTAGGCGCCAAATTGTTTAAGATTGAAATTGCAAGTGTATTAACACTTGGGTCTAAAGGGTCACTTCTACTCTTTATTATAGAGATTATAATTTATAGATGAATTTGGTTATTTGTACACCAAGTTTACAGTCCCCTCATAATAGGCGGGTCCACGCTTTTTATTAGGCGTGAATCCCCCTATTGTGAGGGGACTGTACAACAAGGTACATGTAGCATCTCTCTTTATAGATTTCATAATTTTCTGGTACACCTTAACAATTATTGCCAAAATTTGATGAGCTTTTGTATGCCCGCAATTGTTTTAAACTTGCGGGAAAAAATTCAATCGGGAGGATGAATATCAGAATTTGAAGAAACCCAATGCGTTAGAATTTGTGTATAGATAATTGGTGAGGGTCCCTTCGTATTATTTTACTCCATCCATCCCAATTTATATATGTTGATTTTCCTTTTTTTTTTTTTCTCAATTATTTAGTCATTTTTTATTGAGAATATTTTGTTTTATTTGTTTACTAATATATCATTATTTAATTTGTCTAGTTATAATCAATTTTTTCCACTTAATATTGAAATCATACAAATATAAAGATACCTACTTCTCGAAACCATCCAAATAATTTATGAATGAGAGAAATAGAAATTAAACCATTCAATTTATTTATCACTTCCAGCAATAATTTACTACTAGTTGTTGATACAACAATAATTTACTACTAGTTGTTAATAACTAAATAAGAGTAAATTAGGAAAATTTATAGCAAAAAATATTTTTTCAATAACATTAAATAGGATTTTTTAATCCATGTGAAAAACAAAACCATCCTCTAAAAATGGGATGGAGGGAGTAAATGTTAGTATTAGTAAATGCGTAGTTATATCTTTAATAATATATTAAATATCACATTAAGTGATAATTATTTTTTTGGACGATCTAGTCTTACTATAATTCAATTATTTCAATAGTTAGGGAAGACAATTCGAACTGTTAAAATCGAAAAACCTCGATTAACCGAACTAAATGGGGTGAAAAAACCGAACCGATGGTGCAATAGGGTGACTATAGTTTTGATTTTAATGACCCGTTTTGGGGTGGGACAGGTATGGTATTTAGGGACAGTGTCCCATCCAGAACCAATTACCCATTAAAAAAAATTAATTGGGCAATTGAGTTTTCCATTATTCTTTCCCAAAATTAATTGGGTAATTTTGACAATTGGGCTTCCCCAAAACTTTGGCCCAATTAACTTTGCTAGTAAAGCTTTAATTCAATAACTTAATTCTAACCTTACACGTTAAAATTGAAAATTAGAAACTAAACCTACAAAATACTCGTCCACTCAACCAATGAACCAAATCAGATCCGTCTGCGCTCTGCTACTTGTACCTCAACTTTAAATTGTAGTAATCAGCAATGAAATCTACCATCTTATGAGCACACTCCCTGGGTTGTTCTGCGTCTATTGGCTTCAAACTATCTTCCCTATACAATTCAACAAAACCTAGATACATTATACTTGATTGCATTTTTTTTTATAATATTATTTAAATATATGATGCATAGCCCGGAAAAATGTGATTTTTAATCTATTTTGCTTGCTAGTTTATGCATTTTTTAGTTTCTCTATATTCATAAGAAATGGAGAGTCGAATTATTAATTTGGTTACAGAATTAATGTGGCCTTTTGCTAATATTATTAATGAAATTGAGAGAACTTGAGAGTTTCATCTCTGCATCTTCCAATTTATTGAGAGACTCCAACCTTCATTGATTTTTCTTCATAATTTTTTTTTTCAATTTGACGGTTGGAATTTGGACTATAAAAAATAATTTATTTTCGTGTTTATTAACCGAACCAACTTATGTGGTTATGGTGCGGTTATGGTATGACAAAAAATTTGGTGCTACGGTTATGATTTTGACCGAACCGACCCCGAACCGAACAGTTGCCATCCCTATCAATAATGCCTTATTTTTCATTTTTTAATGTGTGTTTAATTTATTTAACCATTTAGTTATTGTCAATATACATTTTACCCATGTGCTTTCCTTAATGTATGAATTTCCTATTATTAATTCTCAACTAATTAGTATTCACACTCATTTAATTAATATTTATATTCATTTATGCATTTCAGTGTTATTAATTCTAATTATAAGTTAAAAAGAATTTTACATTCAAGAATGAATTTCATTATTCACGTCCATGTATATTAATTAACTTATGATTTTTACTTAATTAAAAATTAAATAAATGATTGAACATATGTTAATGGGACAATATTTATTAACATTGTTACCCAGCGTCAATCAAGAAATATTAAGTAAATATCTTATAAAAAAGAATTGTTGATTTGAGAGAGTGACTTTTGGTAGAGATAAATCATGAAAATATTTCTTGTTACTCTTGTTTGACGAAGATCGGTACTTCTACTTGATCTTGATCGGAAATGACAAGAGAATAAAATAAATATCGTATCCATTTATCTCAAATAGATAAGAATATCATCTTTGTAATAGCAACTACGTAAATAGTAATCAAATCACGGATTTTATTAGTCGCATCACTATACTATCAAATACATAAATGCCGTTATGAAAATTAAAACTTGCTATTGAACAAATGAATTTTCATTCCTACGTATTAATTAGTACCACATTGATAATGAAATTTTGGGACTTCCTAGTCCACATCAAATCACATAGTATTAACATCAAAAATTACTACGAAATTTAATGAAATTTTGGGACCTATTAGATTGTATCACATCTGATAATGAAATTTTGGGACCTTCCAATGTTCACCAAACTTCGACATTCACGTGTCCCATCTTTTTAATAACAAATACATAAATAACATTGAAATTAATATCTTTGGTTTAACAAATAAACTTTCATTCCAATTTATTAAATTAATGTCCGTATGATAATGAAATTTGAAGACTTTCCAATCCACACGAAATCATGTTATATTCATTAGTCTCATACTTAAATCGAGTATTGAAATTATAACTTTTTTTTTTTTTTAATGAATCAGCATTCTGACGTATNTTTTTTTTTTAATGAATTAACATTCATTCCTACTTAAAATAGAATCAAATACACAATAAAATTTGGGAAATTTTCAGTCCACACCAAATCACATTATTCGTTAGTCTAATCATTTTAATTGAAAATATATAAATTGTTACGGGTCTGTCAGACCCCCACCGCGACCGCCACGTGTCTGTGTACGTAGCCTCCCACGTGTCGGCCGAGGCGATTACGCATGGAACGACCTGATCACACCCGCGGAAGTGATTGCCCCCCCTTGGAACGAACTGAACACGCGTCAGCAAATGAACCCATTACTTTGATCAAATGAAACATTACTTTGATCAAATGAACTTTCATTCTGACGTATTAATAGTATGTTTGAGCCCCATTTTATTGTAAGAATACATTTTGAAATAGTAATTTGACGAAGAATACGTGACTAAAAAATGAGGAAAAATTTTGAATTTGCAGGTAATATATATTATTTTATTAAAAATGTGTTGTTACAAAAAAGAGAAAAAAAATGTATTTCACATTGACAGTGAAATTTAGTGACTTCCTAATCCACACTAAATCACGGTATTCCTTAGTCTCACATTTTCATTAGCAAATACAAAAATATTATTAAAATTAAATTAATTTTCGTATCAAATAACTTTCATTTAAACTTATTAAATAGTATCACATTGATAATGAAATTTGGGGACTTCCCTATCCA